GGGATGTCAATTGGAAAATAATCTTGACATTTCATCCAAAACATTTCAGTAAGAAGAAAAATATTTCTACCCTAAAAATCATACTTTCTGAGGCATTTTTAAAAATGGGTTCATTCTGATTATTAAACAATTTTATTCTGAAAAAGAGTTACCAGATTTTTTTATAGTTTTTTTTTTGGCTGAGCCTACCTTAAATCCACAGCAACTGTATTACTTCCAGTACAGCAAAAGATGGTATATATATTAGTTCTCTCTAAAAATTCCTGCTAATATATTACAAAGTGTTATTTCAGACACAAATAAGATGAATTTCTTAATATACACACAGTAGATTTTCTCTGAGGATAACTATTATGAAAAATTCAGGAGAAGTCCACTGATAAGGTAAAAGGACCTTCACAGCCTGAAAAGTGCTATCTATAATCTTGGCACTTTGATCTCTCAGAATATGAACTAATGCTATATCTGTGGTGTAGCTCATTATTAACAGTTAAGTATCTTAAAATGGAGCAGCTTTGAAGATCACTTCCAATATCAATAGCTTGCATTTATATAAGGCTTTCATTTCAAGGACAATGCTACAGGGTGCCTGAATCACGTGCATGTATATATAAACTTCTATTTGCATTCAAACACATCATTAAGGTTATAAATATGTATCCATTTATAAATATAAATGCACAATCTATCATCTTAACTATAGTTTTTGAGACTTTAATATATGAGGCTAGAAGATAGGCAAAAGTATAATCACAGATATCAATGGAATTTTACTAATTAATTGTGGAGAACATCATCCAGTACTCTCTGCAGAAAAAGTTATATCAGAAGACTTTTGCATGGAAGATAAGTAGAATAACCTTCATTTATTTTAATAGGTTCTGAAAATATGAGAGGAAAGCAAGATATCTTTTACAGAGGAATCTTGGATAAAATACTGTTTGCGCTGTTTCACTTTATACAGAATAGGCATTTCAGTCAAAGTCAGATTTTCAGAAAAATTTACTTCTGGTGAAAATTCTCAGCCAAGATCTTCAAAATTTCCACCAGGCTATTTTTCAATGACGTACCCAGGCCAGAGACTTTACATCGGGAAAACAAAACAAAACAAAACAATCTATTTAAAAAAAGACCCGTTCTGTTCAGATATTTCTTATTTAGCAAGCAGCACTAGTTCACCTTCAGTGAAATCAATCATGCTTGCTATGCAATATTTGAAGGGTATGTTATATTATAATTCACCTCTTTCACTTCTCTACACATGTCGTCCTCCAACTGTGCAGACTGAACTTGACCAAAATGTCTAAGGAAGGGAGACAACACAGAAAACAATTTACCATTTAAAAAAATATATTTCTAAACAAACATAAGTAAACCTTTTCCTCAACACCAGCTCATGACTTCAAACAGGGAGGACAAAATCCCTCCACCACTGAAGCAAAAGGGAATTTAATACAGACTTCAGGAAGGTTGGATGTCACCTGTCAAAACTAAGGAAAGATGTAAGGAGTTTAACTTATTACTTATTTAAATAACTGATCTTTTACCAGGCTGTCCATTTTTTTTTTTTTAAGATACTACAACTAAGTAAAAAATTAGTTTTCCATAATTACTGTAAAAGCCTTCCACAATGAAACATTTGCACTATCTTCTGTATTGCATCCTATTTCCAAGTGTAATGACCCTCAAAATCCAAGATTGATTTGGCTTTACTCTGATCAATACTAATCTCCAAGATATATTAGACTTTACATTGACCTAAACAAAAAGGTCATTATATGTATATTAGTCAATCTCCAAAACATTTATTAAATTAATTTGAGGGACCACAAAGGGTGTATTGTTATAACCGTTTCTATCTTGGACTTCTATCCATCATTGTTAGTGAGATTTAAGTGCAACTGATAATTCACATGATCACCTAGTCACTGTAGTGGAAATCTCAAAATGTCTTGACCTGTCCTCTATTATTTTAAAATTAATCTTTTTGTATGTATCTAATTGGAGAAACACCACGATATTATATAGTCACTAGACTATTAGAATCCAATCTTACACATATTAAAGTCAATCGGAGAACACATCTCCTCTTCAGTTACAGAACTGGACTTTTAAAGACTAGGGGGAATCTAAAATCCTACATTTTGGCTGTAAATCCCACAGAAAGGAAAGCGGGAGAAGCCGCTTCAATCAAAGGACTTTGACCAGTACATTCTTAAAAGAAGAATCAGAGCACCCAGCAGCTTATTTATATAAAGTTCATTTTTGAAAAATGCAAATTTCTGATTAGCTTTTTTAGGCTATTGGCTAATTTCAAATTAGGACTAAAAAACCTATACATGCATTAAAGTGAGTGACAATTTTATGGCAAAATTGTTACTGACTGATCTGGGGTAGGTTCCTCATCACTTTTGCTCTTTCTCCTCAAACAAACAAAAACAAGTCTCAAGCTTAGTAAAAACACAAAGAGAAAGATCAATAAATATCTGATATTATTCATAATTTTTAATATTAAAATTAGTAAATTCATTTAATGCCTTTTTTGTTCCTGTTGCACAATGTAATTTTGCCTCCCTAGGCATTACAGATTTCAATAGAACTATTTGCATTTTGGACAGATAACACAATTTACTCTTTGCATAGTAAAGACCCCATACTGTAAACTATTTGAGGCAATAATCATGTGTTTATTGTCTCCCTCAGGCAATTTATCCTAAATTAAATAATTTTATAACCTAGCTAAAATTGTGTTAATCGAAAGTAATGCTAAATGCTCCATGACATTTCTGTCTGGAAGTCTGAACATAATAAAAAAAAAAGTATATAATACTTTGGTAAGTTGCTCACAGACACTTAAATATAATACTAATAGACATTATATACTTACATGTTTTACACATCAGCAGCATTTGCTTAAAAATTCAACCTTAAACTTTGTATTGCTTTAGCTCTGGGGATGCAAATACTAAAAGACACAGGAGTAGGCAAACTAATGTGATTAGTAACCAGGAGGAAAAGTTGTTTAAAAAACCAAAAAGTTAACAAAAAAAAATGGATAATAATCAAGAGTGAGGACATAAAAAGCTAGAAAGGAAGCAAATAATTTCATAAACATAGTGAAATATTTCCAAACAATCATCCAAGTTTCCTAATAGCTTAAACATGTTTCTCACAGCTCTTTCCATGCTGGCCAGAGTGAAGATGTCCACACGTCAAACTCAACTGTCCGATGCCTTTTGGATTTCCATTTCCATAACACTACAGCCACTGTTGCTCTTCTAATACACCAGGGGAGAGAGGGGGGCTACTATCACTTATCCTGCTCCAATTGGAATCTATGACATATTAAATCACCCATGTAAAGTACCTTTCTACTGAATAAAATTGTATTAGAAGTAAACTAATTTCTATCCAAATGGACAAATAAGTAGTCCCAAAGTATATGGGTTACCTAATTATCCACCAAGCAACAGAGGAGCATTTCCCAAACTTTTTCTGGTTAAAATCAAGATGACAAAGTACAGCACATCTTCTACAACAGCTGCTAATGGATTGATCCAAAAGACATCTCTAAGGAACAACTGAGAGCCAAAGAGAATCCTGTGTTGTTATCTGAAATGTGAATAGCTCTGCTGAAGATGATGGCATGCCACAGAAAAGTAAAATGACATTTTCTTATGCACTGGACAAAAAGAGAGGAAGAAGAACAAGATTCCCCAGACTAATGCTCTTCTAAACCTGCCTTTCATTTTCTGTTAAAATTTTCCATCATAGTTAGCAGAGTTTCAGCTCCACAAACTACTGTGAACACTTTCCTTGCTGCCTTTGGTATTTTAGGGTGAAAGAAGAATGTTTGAAAACATGTCCATTGCCTAATTTTTCATATAATTTTTACAAAAGGGCTAGGATTGGAAACCATTTTTAATATTATGAGATTTCAAGTGGAATTTCTGGGAGTGTGGCCATATAGCAGGGGAGCCAGTCCTAAACACAGACTGAGGAATGAGAGAGCAAGGAAAGATTAATCTCTGACTTCAGGCAGCCTAGAAGGCTGCTAAAGGAAAAGCAAAAGAATCACGCATAGAGAGACAGGATGCACACAATGCAGCTTTAGCCTGCTAAGGCACAGACAAGCAGCTTAAACTTGACATAGAAGAGAAGCCACTCGAGAGGAATTAAACATTGGCAAGTGCCAAAAAAAGAATAAAGGGTCTCTGAAGCTGTGTTTTAAACAGACGGGAGAACTGGACTGGCATGTTGCATGGCATGACATTTAAAGCTTTGACAGAAGCTAAATGCAACAATTTCCCTGGGCCCATACCACTGCTACGCATATGATCACTTCTGGAAAACAGACAAGCTCCATCTTAAAACTTCTGCAGTATTTCCCCACCTCTCTCCGCTGCCACTGGGCATTTCAGAATCCACATGCTCTAACAAGGGGACGTTCTCCGAATTTCTGCAAGAAAATTTTATCAGGGGTAGTAGATACTACGTTGCTTTTGTACAGTGTCCTTTATCACAAGGTTCTGCTCCCCTTCTGTTAATCCCCTCCTGAGCTAGCAGGGGGAGTCCATGTCCTACATAGCTTTTATTTCACTTGGTCAAACAAACCAGGATCTCCCTTATCTCTTTATGACAAGGCAGACTCACTACATATTCAGACCATCCTTTCAGCTCTTCTCAGCACCTGGTCTAATTTCAGTTATTTCTTCTTGAAGATGAGTGATCAGAACATTTCTGTGCTGGGTTTGCATGTATGGTGGGGTTTTTTTGGTACTAATTGAAGGGGGCTACAGTGGTGGCCCCCTGTGAGAAGCTTCTCAAAAGCTCCCCTGGCCAAGGCCAAGCCAATTAACAACAGTGGCCATGCCTCTGTGGTAACATATTTAACAAGGGGAATCTGGGAAGAGGAGTTGGAATTGTGAGGAGAACATCTGTGCAAACACTGAGGCCAGTGAAAGAATGGAGGAGGAAGGGGGATAGGTATGCCAGAGCAGATGCTGGCCTGCAGTCCATGGAGGACCCCACGCCGTAGCAGGTGGCTGTGCCTGAAGAAGACTGCGACTCTGTGGAAAGCCCACGCTGTTGTAGTTCGGCACTGAGAGGACTACAACACCTGGGAGGGACTCAGCCTGGAGCAGCTCAGGAATAGTTTGCAGCCTGTGCAAAGAACTCATGCCAGAGTAAGTTTGTGGATGACTCTCTCCTGTGAGAGAGACCCCACGCTGAAGCAGGGAAGGAGTGCAAGGAGTCCTCCCCCTGAGGTGGAAAGAGCAGTGGAACTGACTGTACCCCCCCCCATTCCCTGCCCTGCTACGCTGCTGAGGGAAAAGAAGTAGAGATTTTGAGAGCAAAGCAGAGCCCAGGAAGAAGGGAGGGGTGGGCGAAGGTGTTTTCAAGATGTGGTAATGCTTCTCACTGTCCTACTCTCTGTTAAGTGTTGTTGTTGTTAGTGTCTGAATTAAATTTATGTTCTTTTTTTTCTTCCCTAACCAGCCTGTCTTTTGTTCATGACCACAATGGATGACCCATCCGTCCCCATCCTTGTCTCAACTCCTGAACCTTTTGTTGTATTTTCTCCTTCCTATTCCTGAGGGGGAAGGAGTGAGCGAGTAGCTGCATGGTGCTCAGTTGCCCTCTAGGCTCAAACCACGACAGTAAGTTATTGTGAGATGACACTAACATTTGTATTAGATCTTTCAGAAGCCTCTCTACTCAGGCATCATAAGGTTAGATTTTGCTTTTTCCATTGCCACTCCAGGTGAATATTCCCTTTATCTCCTCCATAAGTTTCTATCACAGAACAAATCTTATATATGAATATGAGGACTAATTAATTACAACATCATTCCAACGCCTCAATTTCATCAACCTGTGATATCAACATTTTTGCCAAATATGCAACAGAGGAGAAAATGATAACTGTGGAAAGAGTTTTCATTCATACATTTCAAGAAAGCTGCTATATGTCCACACACCACCAGTCAACCATCTGAAAGTTCAAGTAGATTCTCAAATTTTACAACAGTAATTTTCAACCTGTAGTATGCAAATGACTTCCAAGAGGTCTAATATATGAAATTAAGAAAAATGGGCCTACTGACAGCAAGTTTTAAATGGAAGATTGATTCCACTGGAAAATTACTAGTGGTCTGCAAATTGCAATAAATCTGAGAACTTCTTGTAATATCTGGGTATCTTCCTTGCATGTGGTAGTTTGAGGACAGGTCACAGTTCTGACAGGCATTCTATGCTTATGATAAGTAAAACTAACAGCTCAAAGATACTGAACTTATTTAGCTCATTAATAGTCCTCCTTCCGGAAGAAAAATTAACTTTTACATCAGAACAATCCAGAATAGCAGACTGAAACCTGTGATGTATGTGCACATACAGCATTCTAGCTTATCTTTTCCTGCCTCTCCTTCACCATCCATTTATTTAAAACTGGTTTCAAACCCTGATAGGTAAAAGTCACAAGCACCTGAGAAAATAAATGAATAAGCAAGATTTCTTTTCATATTACTAAAGAAGCAAAACCCAGGATATCCTTTATATTATCAACACATTGTCTCTTCACTCTAATGAAATAGAGCTGGAGAAGGTAGACTATGTTATGGATAAGAATTAATTTAATACAGTTTTGCAGCTGTTAAGACAAAACCTAAAACACTTTGTATCCAAAATGTATTCAGAATGTAATCAGGAAGACATTGATCAGCTACTGATCAAGTGCGACAAAGCAGTGACTTGCACCTTTAGAATTTAGAGAGGTCAGGGAGAGATAAGTGACAAGACATTTCACACCACTCACACTGACCAAGGAGTTACCTTAGAAAATAGTAGTTACTAAGAATGGAAACCTTGGGATTTGACTACTCCAGTTGAATTCATTAATTCAGTAAGATTTTTAGTATCCAGTACAAACTAACCATTAAAATTACCTCTTTCTCCTCTGACCACATTAATGTTTCAAATAGGATCCAAATAAAACCTTTGTTGCTCTCATGTGGATTTGAAGGAGGGCCTAACTGAGGCAATCCTCGTTTCCTTCCCCTGCTCTAATGGGAAGCTGTAACAAATACACTATGTACAACTGCTGTAATGTATGGTACACCGACATGTTATATAGCCTACAGAATTACTATGTCAGAATATTATCACTTTGTCAGCTTCCCACTGCTCCCTCTTGTCATAAAATGCACAATGTGGGAAGATAAATGTGGATCCAAGTGCCTAATCACGTCTGGAATTTCTGGTATGTTGTACTGCCCAGTAAAACAAATTATAAAACACCAGGAATAAAGTGGTAGTTGCTAAAAATGCCCTAAGATCACAAAGACAAGTCATCAACAATATTAAGACTCAATCTGTTCCAAGGACAAAAAATCCCCGTGAAGTAGAGCAAGTGCCATCTCACCAGAAAACTGGCATTAGTCCACCACAGTGCCATAAAACCAATGAAACTTCTCATAACTTCAGGTAAGAAGAAGAAACATCTCCACAGTTCTGCTAACTCTCAAGTCAGAACAGGTCTAACAAAACTAACCAGTCACAGAAATCTTGATTTTAAAAAAGTCCTCAATTATTATCTAATATTATTCTGATGGCCTTAACAGAAAAAAAAGCCATTCCAAAATAAAGCCAACAGTATGGCCAAAACACATCACAGATGTGTATGTAAAAAAAATCGCCTCTGCCCAAAGCACAGCATGCTGTTCTCAAGCCAACTTTGGTATCATTCATCCCCCACTGCCTTCCAGATGCCCTCTAAGAGACCTCTCTGAAGAAAATGCTTTCTCAATAGGATCTCTGGAAAGGGGGCCAAAAGTTGGGGAAGGGCAGGATAGGTCCTGTGACCTATACGTAAGTAGCAAAGAATGTTAGTATGTTATCCTGCAAACAAAACTAAAGGATGACCTGATCAGTATTTGAAAAGCGGATATTTTTAATGAAGTACAAGAGTCTGTTAAAACAACTTTCTTCAGAGCAGCTCCTCTGTGCTGATTTATAAATTAGTGATGATTTATAAATTGCTAAATGTAATCATGCCAGAATTTTAACTCAGAATTAATCATCCCAACCTCAGTGTTACACTTTAAATAGTTCATACTATGCACAAAACCGCATCCATAACCCAGATCTATTTTGTTCAGCTTCCATAATACCACAGATTTACATTTCACTTAAGTCGAGTTATTAAAAGAAAACACCATCAACTTGAACTTAACTTTATGCCAACAGTATTTACTAGAAGAGTGATTTTTCTTAACTAGACATTTTTCTTTGCTTTCCTCTTGGTTGTCTAAGAGTGCCCCTGAAGAACTATCAATGTATGGGATATAAACCTGTCCCCACCCCCTCTGCTCTCTTTTCACATGCCTCTTGCAGCATCAGCTTCACCAGTCCTGTTACAAAACACCCTATAACCATGTAAGTAACAGCACTGAATGCTTCCAGGCACAGAGTTGCACTCCTGCCAGGATATAAAGGGAGCAACTACAACCCAACTCCAGTACCATGCACAAATTAACCTGACAAATGAGATTTTTCTCCCTAATGTCTTTCAGAGACAGTGATTATTTCCTTTCACAAAGCAACCTGACAGTTTCACTCCTGAACCGAGGCCTTGGTCACGGAGAGCCTGGCAATCCCTCTCTTGACGGCTTCTTTGCGCCCAGCGTATTCTTTGCTTTTTATAGACACGGCTTCACGTCATGGTTTTTTGCTTCACCCCCACCCCCCCACC